CCCAGGCCAGAAGTGGAGCTGCGAGTGGGAAGGTTGCAGCGGCTACAGCAGGCGGCCAAGGGCAGGAACAACGGCGCCCAGTTCTTCGGGGCCCTTTGTGGAACCGTCAGCGGGCAGACGACGAGCGCGGTGAATAGTGGTGATTTTATTTCTGTGCTGGCCCACCCTTGGGCAAAGCGGGCGCAGCAAGACGCCGACTCGCTCACCGGAGTCTCTGACGAGGCTGCAGAACTGCAGGAGCGCGCTGGCCCGCATATCGTGGCCTGGCGAAACGACCCACTCATTCGTGAAGATTGTTTCACAATCGATGTCGACACTACCCGAGGAGACGAACGCAGGAAACACGCACCGCCCCCAACATGCACACCAGCTTAAACAGGAAACGCCGAGGAGGAGGAGGAGGAGGAGGTGAGAGGTGGGGGAGGAGTTTAAGTGCAAGGTGGACGCCGGTGGCAGGATGCGCGGTAGAGCATATTCGAAGCGCGCTCTTCGCACGCACGCTCGACAAGGACGCAGTATAGTCAACGTCGCGTCGTTCTTGAACCCGACCAACGTGTGCGTCGTGTGTGAAACGGTCTTCGCCTCAGAGGTCACCGCGCGCCGACGTCTGGCCCGTTCCTTTTAAAGAGGGCACTGCGTGGTCGATGACGCTCGGGCACTCGGCCCAGCCCAAGAACCAAAGACACTGCAATGTCCTGGATGCGACTTCGTAGCAGGTTCTTGGCTCGAGCTTCGAGATCATCTCGCTTGCCATCTACTTTTTGTTCCAGATATACGTGCGCCCGCTGCCGTTGGCAAGAATAATTCCACACGGCCGACGACGTAGAGCAGGACAGCGAGGATCCGTCGCGGATGAAGGAGCTAGGCGTCGGGCAAGCGGGGCGGGGACTACCCAGGGGCAAGCGCCCCGCGGGAGGAGCCAGCGCCTCAGATCACAAGAAAGCGAAGGCCGACGAGCTCGCGGAGCAAGCCAATGGAGCGGCAGGCAAAGGCGCCACCAAATCTCAAGCCGCGCACCAGATCGTGCTCATCCTCGCAATGCTGGCGCTCAGCATGGCAGGAGATCCCAGGTCAGTCATCAGTTTGGCCTTCGTCACAACAATTGCCCCGACGGCGGCTCCGCGCATCGAGGCAGCCACTCAGGCGGGCAAGCTCCACCACGAGGCGGCGATGGACCTCGAAGAGAAAGCCGTGGGGGACAAGCAGACGGACGACGCGGAGCAGCTGGGCAGCCCACCCCTTCATGTTTGGAAGGATTTCATGAGGGCGCTCCTCGCGAGCACAGAGGAAGGCCAAGCGAGGGTCACGCTGACGCAGCGCTGGAGGGAACGCATCATGAAGCACGAGCTCAAGGACGCAGCGACGGACATTAAGTATTTCAGGGCGCGCGTGCCGCAGGGAAAAGAGGCCAAGCAGAAGTCCAAGCGCATGGAGGGCAAGGCGCGACTGCAGTGGGCTCTGTCGACCACGGACATCGCGCAGCAGCTCGAAGGCACCATTCGCTTGGAGATCGTCAGGCACGGGGGGGAGATTCTGATCGGAGCAGCCCCGCGTGGGGCTTTGGAGAGGGACGCGCGAGCGCTCTTGAACGAACTGGAGCCCAACTAGGCGAGGCCGAAATGAGGAAGGAGGATGTGGAGCCTTGCTGACAGTCAGCGTCTTAATGAATTGGTTGCCCGAGGCTTTGTGAGTAGAGAAGCTCTGCTCGCCTCTTTTACCTCCTCCCTCTCTGAATCCGCTCTGGAGGATAGCAGGTGCCGGTTCATCCCGAGTGCGAAAATGCAGCCGCGTCCTCAGAAACGGGCCAAAGGTAAAGGTAGGGGGAGACAAAATCGTCCCCCGGAGCAAGGCAGAGGTTGGGGGCGCCTCGCTCCTAGCCCTGTGATGTGGGATGTCGTGGGGGGTCCTGCGTCATAGGGTACGGTGCTGGTCGCTCCTAATCTTTCTGGTGAGACAATCGCGTGGGCCGCCACCCTAGCGCCCTGTGCTCAAACCTTCTGGGTTCACTGGGGGCCCGAGTGTTTTTTTTTTCCACCAGTGCCAATGTGTAGCAAAGTTGCAGCCATTCAGGCATGCCGCCCAGCAAATCCCAAGGTAGCAGTCAGACCATTCGTACCTTCGTTCGCCCAGGGTTGTCAGTCAGTCAGTCTCCTCCTCCTCCTCGGCGTTACTAGTGTCATCCCATTCCTTCTCTGGCCTCCTCTTCGTCCCCCCCCCCTTCCTCGTCCTCGTCATCCTCCGTGTCGTCATGATTCCCTCGTCTTCACCATGTTGCTCCCTAGGTCGGCGAGGGAGGGGGAGGCGACAAAAACGTGAAGACGACAGCACCGGCGACTACAATCGTGGAGGCGCAAGCATGATTTAACTCGCGTGGGTCGGAGACCTTTCTTTCCGTACAGAATCGGGTCGGTGTTAGCTGGTGACCCGCGCTACTCGTTCTGCTCATGAGTTTCCGCCGGGCACCCATCCGAGGTGCCTGAGCGCGCGTGCGCACCACGCTTGCCGCTTGTCTGAACGCACGCGTTCGGACACCCGGGGCAAATGGTCCAGCATATTCTGTGTATGGCAAACCCGAGTCCCGCGTGTACAGTCAACCCGTATAATAGGGATGGGCATCTTTCCCAAGGGTACCCCTGCATCCTTGCCTCCTCGGTCCATCCTTGCCCACTTCAGTTGGCCGCGCTCCGTTCGAGAAGCTTCGAAATGGGCGTCCAAGGCCGGCTTTGATACGGGCCGGCTCTGCTTGGAGGCGAGCAGCCAGGCTTGTCAAGAGATGGGCCGACCTTTGACTCGTGATGTGCTCCTACGTGGTCTGTCAAGATCTACCACCCACAGCCTGCCCAGGCAAACTTGCCCTGTCTGGCGAGGGGGGGCCGCTCCCAGCGGGGAGCGGACGTCAGGCCGCCCGCTCCCTTGACAACCAACAGTCGGCGGTGAGCGAGGGGGGGAGGCGAGAAGAAGAATACTCATAATAATTAGACGGCCTCGTCAGAAGGCTCGGAAGTCCCCCCGCCTTCTGAGAAATGTTCGTCTAAGCCTCCCCCGAAGACGCAAAACACTTCTCAGAAGGTCGGCGGGCTTCTGAGAAGCCCCTGTCACCTTCTGAGAATCGACTCGACGTAAGAGTGATCTGATTGCCGGAGTGACCCTGGATGCAGGCCCAATGGAGTCCCCCGATCACCGAGCGCGAAGCGGTAGCAGCTGCTTGCGCACCCAGGTTTGGTCACCCACCGTCTTTCGTTGAGCTGCGCACCAAAGGTCACTCCTGCCCAGGGCCACCAAAGGGTCACTCTTGCCCAGGGGCACTCTTGCGGGCAGTCGCAAGAAGGCCCTCTCCTCCTCATTTCCCCCCTCGCCCGCCGCCGAAACAGGGACAGACGCCGAGTGCGGGCCGCTCGAGATTGGGGAGGGGGGGCGACGAGGAGGGTGAGGGTCCGCCCGGTGGTCTTCGGGTTAAGTCGGGCACTCCCCTCTACAGGAGGAGTATCCAAAGCTAGTCAACAAATAGTCGGGGGACGATCTGTTGAGCTTTTTGTTTGCTACTTTTAATATTTGTTTTATGCTTTTTCCCTACCTAGGCTCTGCCTAGAAGGGTTCTTACTCTCTTAGCTTAAAGGGGCCGGACAGTGCTACACGCCCCGGGCGGTTCCCCCGGTCCCCTGGGAGCGGTTCCCCCCAGTCCCCTGGGAGCTTTAGCTTTAGCTTTAGCTTTAGCTTTAGCTTAGCTTTAGCTTAGCTTTAGCTTAGCTGTAGCTTAGCTTTAGCTTAGCGTTTCGCTTAGCTGTTTTGCTTAGCGTTTAGCTTAGCTTCCGCTTAGCGTTTAGCTTAGCTTTAGCTTAGCTTTACCTTAGCTGTAGCTTAGCTTTTGCTTAGCTTCCGCTTAGCGTTTAGCTTAGCTTTAGCTTAGATTTAGCTTATCTTTAGTTTAGCTTTAGCTTAGCTGTAGCTTAGCTTTAGCTTAGCTGTTGCTCAGCTTTAGCTTATCTTTAGCTTAGCTTTAGCTTAGCTTTAGCTTAGCTTTAGCTTAGCTTTAGCTTAGCGTTACTGATACTACTAATGCTGCTTTCCTAGGGGTTCCAACTCCTAGGTAGGGTCGCACTGGGATAATTTGTTTCCTCCCAAATTTGCCTGCAGAGGGACACGCCCGACTTAATCTTCGTGTCTTAGCTCGAGCCTCCGGCGGCCGCTCGGGGCGATGCCGCTCGCCCCCGGGGAGCGCCCAACGAGGCGCAGCTGCTGGGGAGCGCCCCCTGACGAGAGAGCCGCCCATCGCAGGCGAGGCTTCCTCTCCGACCCCCGGCTTTCCGACGAGAAGTGGAGCCGCCCAGAGACGGAGGGAGCCCTCGGGCTGCACCCCAAGGGGGCTATACCCGGTCGCACCCCTATCGAGGATGGACGCCCCACCATCGTATATCCCAGGGTTGGGCCCTAAACTTCCGGCCCTTCCGAAAAGAACCACGAAGCCGGGGATAGGGGTCGACACACCGATAGCCAACGAACCCCCCCCTTCCCCTCTCCTTCGCCTCGCCCTCCTGGAGAAAGCACCCAGAGGAGGGGTGAGGCGAGCGGCGACAGCTCCTGGCCCCCGGAGAGGTCGCCCGCGGGGGCGAGAGGGCACAGTCAGGTTGCGGGAGCCCCGCGAGGCCAGGGCGGGGCGCGGTCATCGGAGGCGGCCAACAGAGGGGGGTGATGATCAGTCAAGAGGTGGCGAAGGGTCCAGTCTTCCCCATCGGTCGTTGAAAGTAGTTATGCTTGGAGTCCCAGGTTCCAATGTACTTTAAGGGTCTTCCTGCTTCAATGATCGAGTGGCTTCACCTTGTCCGTCCTCTTTAGGGGGCGGGCGGAAACCCAATCTACTTGCAACGCCTTCCTAGTTCATGTTTCCACCAATTTCTTCCGACCGAGAAATGCACCATCCTCGTGCCGGCTAGGTACCCCTACCCACCAAGCGCCGGATGGGTATCCCGCGGGATGGGCATCTTAGTGCACGCCCCCCTCCAATGTTGCCGCCAGATGGGTACGCCACCGTGCTGGCTCGGTACCCCTGCCCAATTGAGCGCTGGGTGGGTATCCCGCGGGACATCTCAATGCCCGTTCGCCCAATGCTGCTGCCTGGTGGGTACGCCGCCGTGCCGGCTGGGTACCCCTGCCCATCCAGCGCCAGGTGCACCTTTACCCAGCCATCGCCCGGCCCAGGGCCTGTCGAGGGCCTTGGGAGGTCGAAAACGGTGAAACGACAACTGTATTGCTTTATTGCTTCCCAATGCTGTGAAGGTCAGGGAGGATGCCCCCGGCCCGTCGTGGACTGCCCGCGGCCCCATTGCGGGTTCCCGGCGTTCATGGAAGAGGCTTCCCGTGTCCTCGAGGGGGGCCCCGGCAGAGGAGAGAGGTGCTGGTGAAGATTGCACGGCACGCGCGGTGACGGGAGTCGGAGCCGACTTGGCGGCTCACGCGAGGGGGTGGCACGAGGGGGAGCGGCCTGCTATGAAGGCGAGGTGGCTTTTAAGGTAGCAGGGGGGCTTAGCAGGTCAGAGGAGTAAAAAGTATCGATACCGCTACCATTACCTCTTCTTGGCTTCTGTGGGCCTGTTAGGAGACCCTCGTCGCCACGGCTGGATTCGCGTCGAAATCCGACTGAGAACGCACCCCAGATGAGGTACGGGGAGTAGCGGTATTGGTGCTTTCTTGTTTCCCCAGGAGAAGGGCCTCGGGGCTCCCAATATTCCTTCTTAGAAGGGCCGGGGGGGGTTCTATAAGCCCCCCGTTCTCTTAGAAGGCCTTCGTGACACTGCCCACAGGTGTGCCAGTTCTTCAAGACGCCTCGCGCTCGCTTCTCGCCGAGCCGAACATGGCCTCCAGACGGGCCGAATGTATGCCGAACGCCACAGGGCCACAATCGCTCTGAGGACATGCCCAAACTGCCGAAGGACCGCTTAAGAGGCTTTTCCAGTGGGCCACAAGAAGGGCCCAAGACGTGCTCGAGCCTGCGCAGTGTCGCCCCCCAACCCAGGGGATTGCGCTATTTTCCCGCGACCCCTATACGTGCGAGGGGACTCATGGCGGTTTCTTGGGCTGCTTGGGTGCCCTGGGGAGGGCAAAGTGAAGGAGGATCGGAGGAGGAAGAACCGGATGATGCTGAGGGGAATCAGAGGGCGGGGAACGGGGCGAGGCAGCGTGCCATCCAGCTTACACCAGATTTCGAATCAGCTTGTCACAGGCTGGATGCCAGTGCCAAGTTATTCTAGGAAACATCAGTTGACTCCTCCTCCTCCTCCTCCTTCTCCTCCTCCTAGTTTCTCCTCTCCCATCCCAAGCACCCCCTTCCCCTCCAACGTGCCTCCCCCCTCCTCTCGTCTCCCCCCTCCTGCTCCCCGTCTTGACATCTGGACATCTGGACATATGGTGGTCATCCCGATCGTCGTCTCGCGGCCCCCAGGCCGAGCCGCCCACCGGAGGTCCAGAATGGCAGGAACAGCGGCGGACTCGATAGTTGTTTCAAGCCGTTGGATATTTGGGCCCTTCCCTCAGAGGGCCAAGCAACGACAAGAAGAGTTCACGAGAGATGACCTCGTCAAGTCGTTCGCATGCATTACGATGTAGAAGCAGCGCGTTAGTAGTGGACGCGGGCACATGATGACGAATCCCGTCATATGTTATAGATTCCCTCTACTATATGTATGGCATCTACTATATCGTCTCTAGTCTCATCGTTTATCTGATCCCTGTCCTCCACTCTGCTCCAGACCTGCCCATATGTGATAATTACCCTCTTCCGACGACTGTCCATATTCTCCTTACTCCCTTATTACCCATTATGTATGCTCGCCCATCCACCCTTGACATTCTGGTGATTGCCTGTTCTATTCCGCCTCTACTATGCCCGATGATCCATGTTCTTTACGTTGTCATATATATATATATACACATACTATGCACCTATACGCGTATCATCCAGGGTCTCCCCCCACTCATGCTGATGCGTTCTCTCCCCTCCCCACCCGCGCGATGGGTCCCTACCCCACTGGGTGTGGCGTGGGTTGCCCCCCTCCCCCCATCGATGGTGAGGATGTTTCAGGGAGCGGAGGAGGGGTCCAGAGGTCCCTCGTCGTCGTCAACGTTGTCGTCGTTGTCGTTGTCATCGTCGTCGTGGGAGGGTCAGGGTCCAGAGGTCGTATCTCGTCGTTGTCGTTGTCGTCGTCGGACCCAGGGACTCATCCCGTTCCGGGGGCGGCGGGGGCGGTTGGCCTGGAGCCCCCAGGATCTTATTCGGTCGGACCGAGGTATAAGATCGAGGTCGTTTCGGGGAGGGCACCCGGATGCTCTTGCCGCAGAAGTCTCGAAGGGAGAGCTTCCGGAAGTCCGCGCGGACTTCCTGGGTGGGCGCTGGGAGCCCCTCTCCCCCGCTCTCTCAGTCTCGGGTCTCCGCCGTCCGCGCGCTCCTGCGGCGGGAGGCGCCGAAGGCGCCGCCCAGGAGGACAATGAGGAGGACGAGGACGAGGACGAGGACGAGGAGGAGGAGGAGGAGGAGGAGGACGACGACGACGGGGAGGAGGACGAGGAGGAGGAGGACGAGGAGCACGAGGACGAGCAATCTGCCCTGCCTCTCGAGGTGCTTCGGCCCCACGAGACGGGGGTCAATGCAATCGGGTCAACCACGCGCAGAGGGGGTCAATGCAAACAGGCCAATGCAAACGGGTCAGCCACGTTGGACGTTCGTGTGCATCCTGAGGGAGGGTGCGCTCGAGTGTTCTTCAGTGTGGCTGGCGGAGGGTCTCATGTTCTTGAAGGATGTTCTTCTGTCCTGGGTCCAACTGTGTACATTCACACGCTGTGGAACCTGGCCGCCCGCTGAAATCGGCAGCACATGTTCGCCAAGTCCCGACAACACCAGCAACCTTGGACCTAGAACAAAGAAGGCGGGCACCAGGACGCGTGGCCAACTCAAAGCGGTCGGGTTTCTCCGAACATTTGTTCAACCTTCGCGATGGTTTTTGATGCGGGTACGGACAATGGACAAGGCGTTGCACGGGGGGGCAACCATCTAGTCAAGAAGCTTGGAGGCGTTCTTAGAAGGTAAGGGGCTTCTCAGAACCCCGCCCAGCTAAGGAGCCTTCTTCGGAGCCCGGGGCCCCTCTAAGAAGACCCCTCCCCTGGCTTCTAAGAAGCCCCCCCCCATATTAGAAGCCCCTCCCCCCTTAGCGCCATCCGCTTGTGCGCATCACGTGTTGGGAGGCCCGCGCGGACTTCTTGGGAGGGCGATGGGCCCCCCTCCCCAGCACCCCTGTACGGGTGGGCAAGCCCCCCGTCCATACTCGGCGGCGCGCCGAGTATGGAGAGGACGAGGAGGAAGAGGAGGACGAGGAGGAGGACGGGGGGCCTCCGCAGAAGGCTCGGAAGTCCCCTGGCCCTCATGGATCTGTTCTAAGCCTTCCCCGACGACGCGGCCGAGAGCGGCCCTGCATCGGCCGACAGCGGGCGATCTGCACCGTCCCAAGGTCGACTAGATACGTAGGAGTGACTGTTCGCTGAAGTGACTCTCGGTGCGGGCCCAGAGGGGTCCCCCGATCGCTGAACGCGAAGCGGTAGCAGCGGCTTGCGCGCCCAGGTTTGGCCACCCCGCGTCCTCCGTGAAGCCGCGCTTCTGGGCCTCTCAGATGGGGTCCGAGCAGATGGGGTCGGAGGATCGCGGCGCATCGCCGATGCATCGCCGATGCATCGCCGATGCGGCTCGAAGTGGAGCCCGATATTCTCAGGGCTGGCATCGCCGAAGTTCCGCCGACGTCGCCGATGCGTCGCCGATGCATCGGCGATCCTCCAGCCCCATCTGAGGCCTCCAGTGATCGCTCAAGGCTGAACGATCCAACCAACACCGACGTTGCGACGCGAATCCGCCGTAATCTGGTCCTGGGCCCAGAGTGGGCCTGTCCAGAATCATTGATGTAAATACATCGCGTCCTCCTGTCTACCCTCCCCCTCCTCCTCCGCCTCCTCCTCTGTGAACCTCCGTACAGTCCTTTGGAGATTTCCAGGAGTCCCTGGAGGTCGCCGGAGGTCGTTCAGCGGCGTTGTTCGCATTACCGCAGCGCGTACGTCATGTGCCGAAGCCGTTCGGCAAGGTGCGGTCTTGGCGCTTGCGCGCACCACTGCTTCGCAACACAGATCATCATGTGTTGTTCGCAGGCGTACTGTTTCCTCATCCCCTGCTCATGCTCCTTATCACACTCATCCTCTTCCGAAAGCATCGGTAATGACTCCCCCTCCCTCTCCGTGTCCTCTTCCTCCCCTCCTCTTCTGTTCTTTTCCATTATTGTTTATGCCAGGTGTGTTGGGCGCGGGCTTCTGCAGCCACTGGCCGCGGCGGGCGTTTACCTGCCGCCATTCTGCACCCGCTGGAGCGGTGTCAGGGCTCTTTCGCGAACCATTCGCGGGCGTCCCTGCATGCTTGCAGGTTAAAAACCTCTCCCTTCTGGCCCAGGTACATAGTTCGCTCCCAAGTCATGGGCGATTGAGTCTGACGGCGCCGCGTTCAATGAACGAATCGTCCCTCCCTCCCCAGATCATGATACTTGCCTGCCTCCCGCATCGCTTTCCCTCTACTCTTCGCTCGCGATCGCGGCAATCAGGCGCCGCCCCGCCTCTTTGCCGCCCCGCCCCCGCGGGCCTTCGCCCGTGCTGCCCTTGTCATCCTTGCTGCACTGATTGTTGAGATCGCTCGCTATACATCGGAGATGAGGGGGTGAGATCGAAGTTGAACGGAGAGCCCCCCTACCGGCAAATCGGTTTCGGTTTCGTGTTCGTGCGTGCCGTGCGTGCGGGCGAGGCGAAGCTGCGTGGGCGGGCGAGAAGAAAGTCTCCTCCGACTGAGGCGCGGCCAGACCAAATGACTCCCTTCCAGCGGCCGGTGGCCCGCGGCGTCCCGCTGGTGTCCCGCCTCCGTCTGAGGCGCGGCCAGATTGAATGACTCCCTTCCGGCGTCCAGTGGCCCGCGGTGTCCCGCCGGTGTCCCGCCGGTGTCCCGTCGGTACCCCGATGATGATGATGATGATGATGATGATGATGATGATGATGATGATGATGATGATGGTGATGGTGATGGTGATGGTGATGGTGATGGTGATGGTGATGGTGATGGTGATGGTGGTGATGATGATGGTGTCCCGAGGATGATGATGATGATGAGGTTGACGATGTTTTTGATGACGATGGTGTCCCGATGATGATGATGTTGATGATGATGATGTTGCTGATGATGATGGTGATGGTGTCCCGATGAGGATGATGATTTTGATGATCCTGATGATGTTGATGGTGATGAAATGATGATGAGATGATGATGAAAATGATGATGATGATGATGATGATGATGATGGTGTCCCGATGACGATGATGATGATTATGATGATGATGATGATGATGATGAGGGCGATGATGATGCTGTTGATGGTGATGATGATGATGGTGTCCCGGTGATGATGATGATGATGATGATGATGATGTTGATGCTGATGCTGATGCTGATGATGACGATGATGGTGTCCCGATGATGATGATGTTTTTGATGATGTGATGATGATTTTGATGATGGTGGCCCGATGATGGTGATGATGATGCTAATGCTGATGATGATGGTGTCCCGATGATGATGATGCTGATGATGATGGTGACGATGATGATGGTGCCCCGATGATGATGATGATGATGCTGATGCTGATGATGATGATGAAGTTGATGATGATGACGCTGCTGGTGATGATGCTGTCCCGGTGATGGTAACACTGATGTTGATGATGTTCTTCATGATGATGATATGATGATGGTGGTGTTTCGATGATGGTGATGAGGATGGTGCTCCGATGATGATGACGTTGATGATGATGATGCTGCTGGTGACGATGATGGGATCCCGATGATGATGGTGGTGATGATGGTGATGAGGTGGTGATGGTGATGGTGCCCCGATGATGATGATGAAGATGATGATGATGATCATGCTGATGACTTAGATGACGATGATGCTGTTGATGATCATGATGACGTTGATAGTGAGATCGATTGTGATTTCTATAGTGAGATCGATCGTGAGACCGACTGTGAGATCGACTGTGAGATCGATGGTGAGATCGATAATGAGATCTAACGTTGGAGAGCCTCACGCTTACCTAGGTGGTCACCACACAGGGGCAGCAATTGCCGTGCATTGCAGTAGTGCTTCGCGGAGCACTTCTTCTTGACCAATATGAACCTGCCAATTGCAAGTCAAACAGTTTGCACCACGCAGCGTAGCATGATTTATGTTGCAGATCGTTCAGTGCTTTCTAATGTTTGGTTTGGAATTGAAATTGAACATAGCACGCCACCTTTGTTAGGTCACAAAGCGGTAAAACATTACCCGCGCCTTCAACGACAGCCGTGGCAATCCTCCTCCTCCTCCTCCTCCTCCTCCTCCTCCTCCTCCTCCTCCTCCTCCTCCCCCCGCTCCTCCTCCGCAGGAGATTGGGAGCAGGAGAAGGAGGGAGGGCGGACAGGCAGCAGGAGGGAGACAGGGACAGAAGGGGGACGGGCAGGAGGAGGGAGCCAGGGACGGATGGCGGGCAGGGGAGGGACGAGCAGGAGGAGGGAGCCAGGGATGGAGGAGGGAGTGAGGGAGGGAGGAGGGGTCAGGTATGGAGCAGGAGGAGGAGGAGGTGGAGGAAGAGGAGGAGGAGGAGGAGGGTAGAGGATAGAGGGCGGGCGGGAGGGAGAGAGAGAGGGAGGAGCGAAAAGGGATGGAGGCAAGCTGGGTGCTTGCGCGCCACATCTGGCATCGGATCCCTCCCGCCAATCCCTTCCCATCACGCTGATGCTGTCTCTACCCGCGGCCGCGTGTCATAGCCGACCTCTGGCTGCAGTCAGGCGCAGTTGCTTCATCTTCCAAGGGACCCCCGCCACTGTCACGGCTGATGCTCCTCTCGGTTGCCAGTCGCCCAAATCATCTTTTCCGCCATGTGGTGGTCGGACTCAGCCAACCCACAGCAGCGGAGCACCAGACGTGAAGGAGGAGGGGATTGATGCGGAGGAAGAGGAGAGTCTCTGGAGTCTCTTGATCGCCTCATAATCTTAGTGGCGTCCGAGAGCCTCTGAAAAGACCCACCCGCCGAAAACAGGCCAAGAGGGCACAGAGAGGGCCCAAACCTTGCCCGAGGGAGGAGGAGGGAAGGAGTAGCAGGAGGAGGAGGAGCAGAAAGGGGGAGGGACTCCCCTCTCCCCTCTTTTTCCCTTTGCCCTGTGCGCCGCAGATCGTCAACATCCTGGCGGAGATGAGGGAGCTCAGCATCCCCAGAGACTCCATGGCCCGTATCCGGCCTTTCTGCTCTCCCCCCAATGCCTGGTCGGGTTTAGGACAAAGATAAATCGCTCCAGAGCGTTCCAGAGTCTAGAGTCTAGGCAGGTCCTTTCTCGACCGACTTGACGCGACACGTTTATCCATCAGCGGCAGCAGAGGCTCTACCCGCCGAAGTGGAAGTATTTTCAGCACATGTGTGTCGGCGGGCATTGGAGGCACCGAAGCATCTTACCAAGGCTCACTGCGCGGGATGCTTCGCAAGCGAATGCAAGGTGCGCGCTTATCTTCATCCTCGACTGCGCGCAAGAGTGACCCTTCGCCAAAGTGACCTTTGGTGCGGGCTCACTGGGACCCCTCCGATCGCTGAAAACGGCGCGATAGCGGCTGCTTGCGCGCTTGGCGCCCCTTGTTGCGCCCCTTTGTTCCGCGCAGCAAAGGTCAATATTGCTGCTTGCTTGCGAGTAGCCGATACCCTTCCTTCGTCTCCCACGCTCGCGCGCGCCGCGGCACCTCATGGCTGTATACGCTCTCCTCCCGTGCAGTCCAGGTGCCCGGCTGTAGGATGCGTTTTCTGGGCGCCTCGGCATTCCTCGGTATAGATGTGCTTGACTTGTGTGTGCTGTGAGCCCAGGGGGGGGTCCCCCCTGCAGTCCAGGTGCCTGGCCAGGATGAGGTCTCCGGGCGCCTTGGCGCGGCGGCGATTCCTCGGTGAAGATGTGCTTCGCTTGTGAGGGCTGTGAGCCCAAGGGGGGGAGGGGGGGCGCTGGGTGGACGCAGCTTGAAGAATCGCTCAGGATTTGAGGAGCAATAACACATCGAACGTAAACTTGCGAAGCTCCGCGCGGACTTCTTGGAGCGGCGCGGGCCCTCCTCCCTGGCGCGCGGAGCGCGCCTGGCGCGGCGCAGGAGGCGCCGCCATGGGGGCCTGGCGCCGATCCCAAACAATTGCGCGGAGTTCCGACAGTTTATGCTTATGTCTAGGCCTCCCAGATGGGGTCAGAGTAGATGGGGTCGCAGGATCCCGCCGCATCGACGATGCATCGCCGATGCGGCTCGATGCGGAGCATTCTCCGTGCCGTCGTCGACGATGCACCGCCGACGTCGCCGATTCATCGCCGATGCGGCGCGATCCTCTGACCCCTAATTGCGACCCCGGATAGTATACCTTTCCCCCCCTCAAGACCTGACCCCAGCCAATCCAGATTTGGCCGGGGAAGAGGGGCGGCAAGGCCGAACTTTATCATAGCGGGGGCAAGTTGCAAACCGAAGTTGCGATCTTCTAGTGTTGACTAGCAACAGCATCAAAAACGTGTGGTATGGCAATGGGGGTATCACCATTTTACGTATCGCAAGTCACGAACGCGTGGCAGGGCTAGGGGACTCCTCATGTCAGCTTTCGCAAATCACGAACGTGCGGCAGGGCTACCAGAGTCTCAATTTCTCAGCCCTTCCCGAGTCAGCAGCATTTGGCAGGGCCATAATAATTGGTTCAGGGCGGTTCGCAAGAGAGGCTTTCTGGCGAGGAGCGCCAAGGACCTCCAGAGCGTAGGCAAGCTTTACATGCCAGATCTCGAGGAACGCCAAGCACCATGAGAGCGAGGATTTGGAGAGGCGCCCAGGATCATCATCATCATCATCATCATCATCATCATCATCATCATCATCACCATCATCATCATCATCACCATCAACAACAACATCAGCGACATCATCATCATCATCATTATGCTGCGATCTCCGGGAAACGTTTGTTATCACCCTGGATCCCGTTTGTTCTTATCCCCAGGGGTTTAACATCAGGGGCAGTTGGCTATCTGCTCGGACCCCCTCTGAGAGGCCTCTATTCTAGACGCTTCGCGTAACCCCACCAGCCCATCCAGAAACGATGCCCAGGTGAACACACCCCGCCCAGGTTCAGGGGAGGGGGTGGAGGGAGGGGCAAACCCCTCTTCCCGAAGGGGAAGTGGGGGGCTGGAGGAGTCAACTCTCTAAACAATTCACGCCCTAAGAGGCTGGTGGGTAGAGTCGACCCGCATAGCAAGGATGAACAACATTCCAAGGTTACCCTCGCATCCTTCCCCTTCGGTCCGTCCCTGCCCCGCTCTCACTGCGACGACGTGGCCGGTTTCTCTGCAAGCACTGGCGCTCGGGACGGAGCCCACGGCTGGGCTCCGTCTGCGGCGGCGGAGGGGGCCTCGGCAGGTCGGGTTTCCGCGCCGCCCCCACGTGGGCGGCGCATCGGGGACGGGCGTTGGTGCCCACAGGAGCCTTACGGCTGGTCCCCAGCGCCCACGAGAGCGAGCCCTCGTTGGGCGTCGCGTGATGGGGGAGCGATACAGTCGGCCCCGTACCCTTCTGTCCTGTGTCTCGCGACCCATGCCTCTACATTCCTACGACAACGTGGCCCTGGGAAGGGTCTTGTGTCCTGTCGCGTGTCCTGTCCAACCAGTTCCGATTGAAACTGGGGCAGCGAGGGCTGCCGAAAAAGGAGCCATTGGGGGCCCCGAAACGGGCCCTCTGGGGCCTGCTTGGGCCCTACAAGGGGGCCTGTATGGCCCGCGAAGTGCTCTTCAGTTCCACCCACATATATCGCCCCCTAAATATGCGATGCTCAACTACGATTTCCAACAGTGGCGAATCGTCTCAACTTGCCGATCGGCCCACCGAGAATAGTCGAATAACCGTTTGTGGTTTGCATGGGATGCTCCTTGAACATGTCTGGCGGCCTTGCTTCAATCAAGTTATTTTATGTTCCAAGAATGTTGCGTTCTTAGAACAATGTTTCGTTGTAAGATCACTTCGTGGCAGGTTTATAGAAATGCCGGGATGGTCTGTCCCTGCTCAACCGTCAGCGGAGGAAGAGGCACCGATATCGTTGCCCTCGCCTCGTTTTTCGCAGTTTCGGGCCTCCTGGGAGGCCCTCGTCGCCAGCGTTGGGTTCGCTTCGAACTTTTGGTCAAAAGGCACCCCGTCAGAGGTCCGGGGAGTAGCGGTATCGGTACCTCGTGGGTTCCCCCGCGCCGCGAAAGCGGCACGACATGCGTCGAAGGGGGACCGCCAATGTTGGATGCTCCGCGGGGATGCCCCGGATCGGCCCTGGGGGCCCCCGGCGGCGCCTCCGGCGCCGCCCCTGGCGAGTTCCGCGCGCCAGTCCGGCGCCGATCTGATGAATTCGAGCTTCGGGCGCCGCGTAATGGGGGGGTCAAAAATGGGGGGGTCATGAATGGGCGCCGCGTAATGGGGGGGTCATAAATGGGGGGGTCATAAATGGTCGAGCTTGAGCTTGGGCGCCGCGTAATGGGGGGGTCATAAATGGGGGGGTGGCGAGGGTGGTTCGAAAAGGTACCCAAACGGTACCCAAACGAGCCCCCTGGGGCTCCGGAGGGGCCCGAAAGGGGCACGAAAGGGGACCCTTTTCTGACCCCCCCATTTGTGACCCCCCCATTAAGCCACGCCCAACGAGCGGGCCTCCGAACGTTATGGTTATGCCATTCTGTGCTCTTCTAAAGCGGGGTCGATAGCCGCAGAGGGGCCTCTGAAAGCTCGTGCTCCCCATGTCTCGCGATGGGGCTCTTGTTCCCCATAGCCTAGAACAGGGGGTACTATTCCGACGGCTCCGGGAACAAACCCTCCTCCTCCTCACCTCCTCCTGCTCCTCTTCCCATTCAGTCTCGGTCAGATGCACTCAGGCTCACTCCGACTCACTCTTACAAACTCATACTCACCTTCAAGTGCGCGCGTACTCAGGCACACTCGTATCCAGACCCACCAATACTCTGGCTCACTTGTACTCAGACTCACTCACACTCCCCCTCACTCACACTCGAGTAATTCATACTCCGTCTCTCTCACTGTCAGACTCGCTCATACTCAGACTAACTGACACTCATCCTTTCTTCACACTCCGATCCACTCTTGTTCAGAACCACTCACGCACACAGATTGCAAATATGTATCAGGCGAGCAGCACTCCGAAAGGGGAGTCGCCAGGAGGTAACGCACGGGCGCGTTCGCGCCCAAATTGTGGGAATATCTCAAGCGGTTTGCGCGTTTGGAGGCCCAGCCTCCTTTGCTTTCAGAGCATATGTTGGGGATGTCTCATGCGATACGCTGGTTTCAGCACTCCAAGGGGGAGCCGCCAGGGCATGTTGCATGGGCCCGTTCTCGCCCAGTTTGTGGGGATGTCTCAGGCGGTTTGCCTGTTTGGGTGCCCGAGATTCTTTTGCTGTCAAAGCAGACTGTGGGGATGTCTCAGGCGGTGTGCCTGTTGTTGCTCCCCTGACTGTTTTCTTTTGATGGTCCACTGGTCACCGCGTCCTGTTGAGCTCTCTTGGAGGCCACTTGAAGCGCTCCTGGGAAGCTCTTTGGAGCCTGCTGGGTCCTGGCCAGGACCTGCCCGCGACCTGCCTGGGATCCTGCCTGGACCTTGCCGGGATTTGCCGGGATTTTTTTCGTCTGGGGACCCCCAGGGGCGGCTTCGCGTGCGCGAATTATAATATTGTTAACC